CTGGGAGCTGCTCAAGTCAGAGGGTGCTACTGCCCTGGGTTTGGAAGACACAGCAGCTGACCTCCCCCCCAACCGTGCCCCCCTCCCCCGGTTCTGATTGCAGCCCCGGCCTGAGAGCAGTCACCTCCAAAGCCTGAGAGCAGTCACCTCCAAGCAGATGTTTCCGGGGAGTGTGCCACCCCTGTCCAGGGCCCGGTCAGTGCAGGGCTCAGAGGCTCAGGCCTGTCCGAGACGCAGCGACACCCCCACAGGCCCTGGCGGCCCCGGGCTTCCCCAGGGCTGGCCGAGCTGGTTGCCGGGGAACCCTCTGCCCAGGCCCCTCCTCTCCCAGAGTGGGGGTCCTGGGAGCCACCCTGTGGCTGGACGCGAGGTGCACGGCTCACGGCGGTGGGGCCCTTTTCACAGATGGTGAGCGGGTTCAGGGGCTGTGCCCCTCCTGGGAGTAGTCTCTGCTTTTGGAGATAGTGGCAGCTTGTTCTTGGTGGACAGTCTCTGAATCACCAAACACAAGGTGAGCCATCGTGTTCAGGCTGGTGAGTGTGGCAGGTGGAGCTGGGGGCCTAGAGGGCGGCCCCGGTTCACAGCCGCCCACCCCCGGCAGTCCGGCTGCCTCCTTCCGACCTGGGCTGGGCCTGTGCGGCCGCGTGGTGACCACCCTGCAAAGTGCCACCTCCACCCCAGGTAAGCCTGGCCCCTGCGCTGGTCATCCCTGGGCCGGAGGGGCCGTCCTCACCTGTGAGCACACACACGCCCGACCCTGGAGGGGCTCACATCCGTGAGGAGGGGGTCGGGGCCCTGAGGGCTCAGGCCGGGATGAAGCCCTTGCACTGAGCTGAGCCCCGGGCTGTCTTGCCGAAGTCCCTGGCCCTTGGCGCTCCCATGCCCCCCAGGCCCAGTCTCTCTGCATGCCAGGCCAGGCAAGGATGGGACGGAGGGCCCCCACCCCCACGTTAACCTGGGGCTCGGTGCCCTGGGTCTCTGTGGACCACACCCAGAGTGGACCAGTCACAGCAGACAGTGGGCCTGGCCCCAGCGTGAACTGACGCACGAGGTCAGCATTCCTGGCGTGACCACTGAGCCCCTCGTGACGCAGAGGCGGCTGTGCCGTCCAGGGAGCAGTCCTTCCACGGAGCAGGGGGCGTGTTCTGGGCAAGACTGTCCTGATTGTAAGTAGGTGGCTCACATTTCAATTTGGCAAGAATATTATAAAATGTCCCAGAGGAGGCCGCCGGAGGCTGGGCAGAGGAGTTGGGGCTCTGAGGAAACCCTCAGAAAGGGGGCCGCGGGGTCTCCTCTGGTCGGGCAGGCGGCTCTGGGGGTGCAGGGCCATGCTCTTCACACCCAGGAAGGCCGTTCAGGGCCTTGCAGGCTGCGGCAAGGCAGCAAGAGGGGCGTGAAGCCTGCGCTCCTGCTGGGGTCTCCCCCCACCCCCGGGGATAGCAATGAGAGCAGCCTCCCCCACGTCCCTCCCCAGGGCGGCCTGTGGCCCTCGCCTCATGGACGGTGCAGCCCCGTGTCCCCAGAGACCCACCTGGACCTTGACCTTCCAGCCGGCACCTCGCTCCAGGCCAGCACCAGCCGTCACCTCGAAATGGAGGCCCTGGGCCTGCCCGGCGGTGGCGGCGGAGGGGGCAGCCGTAGGACCTCCTGTCCTCTCCTGACGACCCTGCACCATTTGAGTTGACTGCACTGGGGTGTGAAGTGACTCCAGGAAGGTTAGGGGGACCCGAAGGGCCACAGCGAGGTGGGCCATGGGAAGGGGGGCCCTGATGTTAGCCAGTGTTGGGCTCCTGGGGCCCCACGTCCGGGGCTGGATGGGAAGGCGTGAGGGTCCACACGGGCGTGTGTGAACCTTCTCTCAACTGTCATCATGGTTCCTGGGCTTTGTCAGAGAAGGGGGATTCTCCCAGGAGGTTGAGAAGTCCCAAGCCTAGGCCTTGCCTCTCCGGGGGGACCCCAGCATTAGCACCTCTATGAAGGGGCCCTCGTACTTGAGAAGCTGGACACCTCGCAAACTGAAGCAGGTGCCCACGCCCCGACCACGCCAGAGCTCCGGGCCCTGTGGGCGGCCGGCAGCCTCTTGGGTCTCCAGGCCGAGTACGGCAGGGTGGACGGGAGCTCAAGGCTCCAGGTGTCATGCAGGCCATCTGGCAGGGACCCATGGCTCAGGCCTTGTCAGCCACTGGATTCTTAGCGGCCAGTTCTAGGCCCAGCACCCCGAGAACCCATCTGTGTACCTGCCTGGAGCTGACACGGCAGAGCCAGTCCCGCCTCCACCCAGCAGCCCCAAGTGGTCCTGGAGAGGCTCGCCCCAGGCCCAGAGGTCAGAACCAGCTGGCCCAGCTCGGCACCTGCCAGTCCTGGCCGACATGAGTTTATAGTTTACTGTGCAAACCAGGAAGAAACCCTTGGGAGCACTCAGAACGGTCAGCAGTGTCCCGAGTCGGCATTAGAGGGGACCGTGGTCACCGGAGAGACGGGCCTCCTGGTGGACCGGCAGAGGTCAGGCTCTAGGCAGTGACTGACCACAGCCGGGTCAGCAGAGGGTAGAAACCAATGCGCTCCACGTTCACTTCCTGGAGCCCAAGGGCTGAGACGGGGCGTGCCCTTGGGGTGTCCCTGGGGACGTGAGGGGACAGCCCCAGCCCTCTCCACGGGAAGCGAGCTGAGTCCCCAGCAAGACCCTCACAGGGCCCAACAGAGCCTGGACCTGCTGCCCTGGCCGTGGAGGCTGGTGGGTCAAACAGGGGAGGGGCATTCCCCGCCGGACGACCGGGGGTCTGGGGGCACGGCCCTCCCCTGAGTCACAGTCCCAGCCCCGCTTGACCCTGAAGGTGGCCAGCCTTCGGACCCCTGGGCCTTCAGGGCTCCAGACTCTTGTTGACAAAAAGGGATTTAGTCGATAACTCTCCTCCACGTGGAACTGACCTCCCTTCTGGAGCCCCCGGGACAGTTCTGGTCCCCACGCCTCACCTGCTGTGGGGGTAGGACGCCGGGGGTGCTCACGGGGCAGATCCACTCCTGCTGGGAGCAGCAGATCCCAGACACGGGTTCCTTGCCCTATTCTCGGGGCCGCAGGGAGCTGGGAGGACCACAGTTGATTTTTTTTTTCTAATTTCATTATCTTTTCTTCTGGAGTGATCTGTTCTCCCCCCAAGTTTATTTTTTAGTTTATTTTACTGATTCTAGATCTTCACGGGTTCCTTGCCCTATTCTCGGGGCCGCAGGGAGCTGGGAGGACCACAGTTGATTTTTTTTTTCTAATTTCATTATCTTTTCTTCTGGAGTGATCTGTTCTCCCCCCAAGTTTATTTTTTAGTTTATTTTACTGATTCTAGATCTTCAGTCTTATTTAGAACGGCTTCGTTTAGGTCCATCCGTTAACCCCGCGGGTAGCTGTTGGCACCTCCCAGAACTGTGACAAGTAGCATTCACTTCACACACCCTGGGGTTGTGGTTTTGCTGGTCTCGTTGACCCAAGAGCTATTTTGGGGGATTCTCTTTAATTTCTGCTGGGGGTCTCCATGTAGGCTGTCGGGGTGGCCCAGTCCAGCAGCGAGGAGGGCTCCAAGCCCAGCTCCCCTTTACCCTTGGGTGGCTCTGGTCTGGAGCAGGGCCCCTCGTCCCTTCTCCTGGGGTGGAGGGCACCGAGGGCCCCTTCTCAGAAGTGAGGGTCCACACACCTGCAGCCCGGCCCCAGCACACAAGCTTAAGCTACTTCAGGGCTGTCGTCAACTTGTCCTCTGCTCCTAGTTCATTTCATTGCAGTCAAAATCCGTGGTGTCTGTAAAAAGTTCTGCTTGGAATTACTGAGGTCTGCCAGGTGGCACTGGGGGTAAGGAACCCACCTGCCAATGAAGGAGACATGAGACGCAAGCTCAATCCCTGGGTCAAAAAGATGCCCCGGTGGAGGGCGTGACAATCCACTCCAGTATTCTTGCCTGAAGAATCCCGTGGACTGAGCAGCCTGGTGGGCCACCATCCTTGGGGGTCACACAGAGTTGGACATGAATAAGCGACTGAGCACACACACACAGTATACGAACAAATTTTAGAAAGCTCTAACATGTGCTTGCAAACAAATCTACTCTTTATATGACACATGGCATTTGGTGGAACAATTACTTCTACTTCGTTATTTAAATCTTAATCTCCCTCAGTGGCATTATCTCCCAGAACAAATGGACCCTGTAAATGGACCTCAACATCCCGAGTGTCTGCTGTCTTACTTGATATGTTGTTCAAACCCAAGGTTTCCTGCCTTCATGCTCCACCACGTTCTGTTACATCCTGTCTCTATTCACCTTGCCAGCTCTTCCTCCTTCTTGGAAACCAGGCCCCCTCCCACCCCTGGAGCTTACAGCCTCCCCGACTACCTGCAAGTCTTTTGACTGCAAAGATTTGTTCTTCTGAGTCATCAGAATGATGGCATTGTGTCTCCTTATACAGGGCTATGATGTGAACTCTATGACGTGTGTTTGTGTGTGTTGTCAGTGGTGTGTGTTTGTGTGTGTTGTCAGTGGTGTGTGACGGTGTGTGTATGTGTTGTGTTGGGTGGGGGGGATCCACCAGGTGCCGTGGGGTTTTGTGTTCCTCCCTGTCTTTGGGGGTCTCTTACTGGGAAGTTTAAGAGGACACCTGGGGCAGTGAGTGGCAGCCAGATATTTTTAATGGAAGCCTTTTTTCCAAGTGATTTTGAAGTTAATGGAAAACAACACCATGCTTTCATTCTAGAAAATGGCTTTCATAAATCTTTTTATTTTCTGTTGCTTCATGAAAGACACACTTCAGAATAAAAAAAAAAGATGCAGAATCAACAAGGTATAATTTCCTGTCGTTATCCATCTTTAGGAAGCAATTTCCTCCCTAAATATAACAGCATCCTAACACTTGAAGCAGAGAAAGCAACCCACAGACCAGGCGAAGGCTGCGAGTCCAAGGCCAGAAACAGCAGGACTGTCTCTTGCTGACCTCATTCTGGGAAGCGCAGGACCGCACGCCTACAGCTGGACAGCCCTGGGAGGGGGCGCCCCGCAGGCCGACCGGGCGGGCAGGGCCTCCGTCTCCTGGCGTCTGCTGTTCGTGTTTGCTGAGGCAAAGGCGGCCAAAACCACAAGGAACTGCTGGGAAGTTTCAGAGTCAGGGCTTGTGAGAACTGCCCTTCCCAGCCAGAGGGCTCTGGGGTCTCGTCGGGGTCTCCGTCGGGGTCTCGTCGGGCTCTCCACGTCCACGCTCACCCGCACTTCCAAGTGGCTGTCGGTCCAGGCCCCGCCACCACAGAGTCGCCTCACGCCCCCGACTGCCGGGCCCCCTGCTCCCACAGGACTGCTGCCCACGCCCCACACAGGCCCTGGCTTCAAGGGGTCCTCCTCCTCCCCTCCCAGCCCAGGGGCGCTGGGACGCCTGGTCACCGGAGTACTGGCTGTGCGAACCTGCTGCGTGGGACGTGCCAGCAAGGGGATGTCCTTCAGGCTGTTTCCACTGGACCAGAAGATGCTGAAGAAACGGCAGTTCACTCCAAAGGACCAAAGCACCCACACACATGAGTGAGCACGTACACGTGTGCACAATGTATACGTACACACGAGGGAGCATGTACACATGAGCACAGTGCATCTACATGAGTGAGCACATATGCGTGTGCACCGGAGCACATGCACATGTCACAGTGCGTATATACACGAGTGAGCTCATACAGTGTAACAGTGTATATACACATGAGTGAGCATGTATGCATATGCACAGGAGCATATACATGTTGTATGTACAGTATATATACACAGAGTGAGCATGTACATGTGTGTGCAGCATATACACATGAGTGAGCTCACAGTGTATACACACACGAGTGAGCATGTATACACGAGCACATGAGCACACACACGTGTGCACAGGAGCACATGTGCCTACACACACGTGCGCGCCCAGCGTCCTCCCCCCACTCCGCACACACGTCCCCCAGAAGGGGAGGGGATGCACCTCCACACCAGCCAGGCGTTCCAGTGACACGTGTGGGGACAGGAGGGAGGCCTCCCCGCTCCACTCCAGCCAGGTGACCTGTTCCAGAAGCCCTTCCTGTCACAAACCGCCCGGCCTGCCAGTTGCACACAGGAACTGGGCTGCTGGGGGCGGGACCCGCCTGAGACACCCAGGAGGCACCTCGGGTGCCCAGTTCCAGGGAGAGATCACCAGAGGCCGTGGGGCCAGGGCTGCCCTGGGGGCCGGGGAGGGCTGAGGGGTGGGGGGCCCCCAGGACTCCTGGAGGCCTGCAGGGAGGGGGAACTCAGCCTGGCCCCCGTGGGGCTCCACGCAGCTCCGCAGGAGGTGAAGGTCAGGTCACGTTCTTTGCTGAGGCTGGAATTCTGACATCAGATTTTCCATGCTCTGCTTGGGGGAGGAGCTGGCAGTGCAGGGCGGGAACAGCTGGCGGAGCAGGGCGGGCAGGGGCCCAGATGCTGCCAGGTACCCAGAGCTCAAGGCCCGAGGGCTCCGCTGGCCCCAGCCTGACTGTGCCCGTGCCTGGGCTGCCCATGCTCGGCTGCCTGGCGCATCCCAGCCATCGGCCAGCATGCGACTTTCTCATCTCAGCAGGGGCCTTGCTGAGTCACACGGGTCTGCGTTAGGGACTCTAAAAATAGCCTGATGGCCGGGCCAGCGCAGGAGTTATTAATAGGCTGGGACAGAGCCCCTCCTCCCGGGGGGCCTCCCTTCTAGGGGAAGAGCTGCGGCCTTGGCCAGGGAGGCCGAGCTGCTGGCCGTCCCACCATGTACACTCGAGCCCTTCCACCAGGGTTTGCAGCTCCTTCACCCGAACCCCCCAACACCCTCTTCTCCCCCTAACCCCACAGCGCACCCTGAGGGTGCTCTCAAAGCTCAGAGTGCCCCAAAGAAGCTGCAGACGGGGAAGCCCCTCGTTCAGATGATCAGGGATCTCGGAGAGAGCCCAGAGCCAAGGAGCTGCCCCAGCTGTGGCCACTCCAGGGCGGGAGGGGTCCGGAAGCCCCCAGCCACAGCCTGCTACCCCACCGGGGGGGGGGGTCCCAAACGCCCCAGCTACCGTTGTTTCCACAGGAAAAGCAGCTCCTTGGTAGCCCCTCTTGGGCCCTGAGCTGCTGGTGTGAGCCCACGGACCTCAGAGTGGCCATGCCCACCGGTGCAGGAGCAGGGGTCTCCCGACGCGGGCAGACCCCAGAGTGGAAGGCTGTGCTCCAAGCCCCTCCCTGAAGCTTGTGGACTGAGCACCGAGACAGGGGGCTGACCCGAGGGCAGGCTCACTCGGCCTCCTGGCTGCTGGCCACTTCTGGGCCAGAGGACCACCCCTGGGCTCCGGCCGCTCCCTCCTCCCTCAGTCACCCACCGTCTGACCTGGCACTTTTGTGACCGGAGGCTTGGGCGACTGAGAAAACCCCAGTGCAAACTCAGCCACCGCACCACCAATCCTGGGACCCCTGGGAGGGGCGCCCACACCCAGGGCTGGACTCTGGCCTTGCCCCCAGCAAGCCTGTCCCGTCCCGCCCACACGGTTATCCTGGGGGCTAACGCTGCCCCCAAGCAGTGGTGCAGAAAGGCGCTCGAGCTCAGAGCGGACCCCTGGACTCGGCAGGGCGGAGCTGACAGCGGGGGGCACAGCCCCATGCTCTGTTTCCAGAGAGAAAAGGTGTGAGGTCCAAGGGGCTGGTGGGGGACCCAGGGATCTCGGGTCCTGGCGGGGCCTGCTGTGACTTACAGATGCTGACAAGGGGAGCCCCTCAGTCAGGCTGCCGGAGAGGGGCTCAGGCCACTCCCAGGGAGGCAACCTCCAGGGAGCCCGGGATAGCCCCGGTCATCCCCCAGTGCCCATGGCCACCCCGGGGCAAGGCGCCAGAAGCTGGGGGCGAGGCGGGCCCCCGTGCTGGGGCCGTCCTCTCCCCATTCCCGTGCTCACCCCTGACCCACAGCGGGGCCTCCCGTCGAGCCTGTGGGTCCTTCGACCTTCTAGAAGAAGCGAGCGTTTCCATGCTGGCCTCCCAGACCTTCCGGCAAGTGCGAGGCTTTTCCTCCTGAAAAAGTAATTTACAGCCTGAAAGGGGGTGCAAGCCGCCCCTCACGCGCCCGCCTGCTGCCGTCCTTCCACCAAGCCACGAGCAGTGCACGCGGGGGGTGGCTGTCCAGCCCCCACCCTAGCTAGACCCCCTCCTCGGCAGGGACTCCGGGGGGTGCAGCCGCGGCTCTGCCAGCAAAGGTCACCGTCCACGTCCCGATGGGCTTGTGAGGCGATGGTTGGAGTGGCTGGGATGAGAACAGGTCCGTCCAGGCGCGGGGCACCCACCTGCGAGCGTCTGACGTCCCCCCACCTCACCATCTCAGTGCATCACCAACCGCAGCGTGTCTCCCCAGAGGCAGAGGGGACGCGGGAGCCCTGCCCCTGGCTTCCAGCTGGTGCCCACACGGGGCCACCTTCCCACGCGTCCGGCTCCACCCAGCGTTCTGTGTCTCCCCCAGGTCTCAGCCTGGGTGGGGACCTGTGGCAGCAGAGACCCTACAGGTGGGGGGCCCTGCCATGGACACCGCCCTGCGTGAGCGGCACCGCATCAGGACCCGCAAAGCCAGCGCCCCAGGCTGCAGGGCCCGCGGCTCCGGAGCCCGGGTCAGGATGCAGACCTTCCCACGCCCACCCTTCCAGGACCACAGGTGGCTCCCCAGAAGGAGCCGGGTGGGTCCTGAGCCCAGGGTGAAGGAGGGGTGGGCGGCTGGGGCAAGGGGACATCTTGCCCACCTGCCCACAAGCCTTGAGGAAAGATTGAACATCCACATCAACCCACCTATTTGCTCAGAGTAAGAAGCACTGTCCTTGGATGGGAGACTTCAGGGGAAGAGAGGCCTGATCAGGGGGCAGGTGGGACATTCCCACCAAGGTCAAGGTCTTGGCCCAGCAAAGGGAGGCCACGGAGACGAAAGAGAGCAGGACGGGGCCAGGGCCACCTGCCCGCAGGAGCTGGGAGCCCCGGGGGCCTGAGGGCCTCGCGGGTGGCCCTGACACCCGCCACATGCCCAGCAAGAGTGTCGTCCGTGCACGTGGCCTGCTGCTCAGCCACCACCTGCCACCGTGCGTCCAGCCCTGAGGTCCACCGGCCCTGCCTCACCGTTCAGTCATGGGGAGGGGAGAGCTGAGTGCAAGGGCTGGGCCTCCTCCCGGAGGAGGAGGAGGGCAGGTAGCGGGTGGGGGTGGGCTTCCCCTCAAGCTGCAGGGGAGGGTCGTCGCCCCGCTGGCCTGGAGAGCTGGGGCTGCCTGAACACGGGCTTTGCCCCTGCCAGTGCTGGATTCCGTTTTAGAAATCCCGCTTGCAGACGGACTCCGGGAGGGCCGCTTTCTCCCCGCGTCTATCCGGGCCCTCTTCCTCCTCCTCCTTCCTCTCTCCTCCCCCTTCCAAAGTGTGGGAACTCCCCCCACCTCTAGGCCTCGAGGAGGCCAGGCAGAGCCCAGAGGCCTGGGGCTGGGGGGTGGGCATGAGTGGCTGAGGCCGGGAGACCCTGGGGCCTTGGGGGCCGTGGGAAAGCCCGGGAGGAGATGGAGTAGGACTGGAGGCCGCCCACTGAGTGGTGCGCCCAGCGCTCCCCCCCAGGAGGGGGCCTGATCCTCGGAGCAGGGGGTGGCCGGGCCCTGGGGCTCGAGCTGGGGTGGAGCGGGGAGCCACTCAGCAAAGAGCTGCTTCCCCTGGGGAGGCGAGAGGCTGGCAGTCAGGCCCCAAGGGGGGGGAGTCCAGTGCCCGGGCCCAGAGACCCCTGGCCTGGGAGAGAGTGACCACCTGCGGTGGGGGTGCTACCGGCCTCGAGCCCGTCAGGGAGCACAGCTGAGGAGGACCCAGAGGTGGGACCTTGGCACCGACCTAGGCCTGGACACGGGAGAGGGGTGGTCTTGGGACCAGCAGTTCCTAAGGCCTCGCCTCCCAAACCCCGCGGTCTGCGTCGAGGCGTCCAGCCCCAAACACGCTAGGCGAGGCCTGGCCAGCGGGGACCCTGCGGGGTGTGGGGGACACACAGAGGGAGCGGGCGGCCCAGGATGCAGGCGCCTGGCAGGGGAAGGAGGCAGAAAGGGTTCACAAGGCCCTCTGGGGACGGCGGCTGCCGCCCAAGGCCTGGTCCAGGGGAGATGCAGCCACAGAGGCGCCGCCCGGCCGGCCCGCAGAGGGTCGGGGCGGGGCTGTGCTCTCTTTCCTGAGTCCTGGGGTGGGGGGCCCCGCTGGCCACGCCCAGCCCAGCCTCTGTCCAGCGCGCCCGCAGATGAGCCCCTGCCCCTTGGTGCTGATGGGCTGCCTGCCGGCATCGGGCCGTGCCACACGTAGCGGGGCCGCCGCAGAGCCTGGACGCGGGGCCGCTCGGCCGCTGGACGGCCCTCAGCTCCGCCGCCCCAGGAAACGGACGTGTTCCTAAAACCGCTCACGCTACAACTGCTTTTACTTTTAGACCTATGCTTAAAATAGCCTGGATCGGGCCCCTCTTGGAGGTGAAAAGCTGTCTGCTGTGGGGAGGCCTTCTCCTTCTGTGGCTCGCGGCCGTAACACTTCCGAAAGTGGGTCTGGTTGGCAGGTCGCCTTCTCTGATGTGGACAGAGGGCTGCGCGGGGCAGGGGCTGGGGCGGAGGCTGCTTCTCCCACACGCTCTTCCAGCTCGGACCAAGGATGGATCCACACTCGGCCTGGCGCCCAGGCGGGGGGCTGGCCAGGCCCTCACCTGCCATCACGTCCCTGCGGCAGTTGGAGCTTCTCTGCTCTTTGCTAAGGTCACTCGGGCGCTGAGGAAGACACCCGGAGGCCTGTGCCCTCCTGGCCCAAGCAGGACCGTGTCTCTGTGGGGATGTCCCAGGGGGCCACCAAGCTACGCCTCCTCTTTCAGGGAGGGCGCAGGTCTCCCCGTCGACCCTGGAGAAGTAGGCTGCACAGGGCGCCGCCAGGCTCGCCCCGTCCTGGGGCTCCAAGGGGAGCCCAGCAGAGCACCCTGGTGGCCCGCAGGCTACACCCAACCTGGGCAGCCCAGAAGGCTCTGCAGGGGCAGTGGCCGGCGAGCTGGCCCCCTCGGGGCGCTGTGAACCCCAGTCCCAGCTCTGCTGGGTGCCAAGGGAACTCTCCAGGTCTGGACCTGAGGGACGCCCGAGGCCCAGTTTAAATCGAGCAGGTTCTCCGCCCAGCAGGGCAGCGCCAGGCGCCTGTGAAGGTGGGATCAGGCCCAACCAGCCGCTCCGTGCCGCCAACCACACAGGCTGAGAATCCCGTCATGGTGCCTGAGTGTCCACCCAGGGCCCCCCCCAACCCCGGCTGAGGCAGGAGGCTCCGCGGCCCCTCCCCACCCGTCCACTTCCCTTTCCTTCCTGCCCTCCCCGTAGCCCTGGGCTGACCGCACCCAGGTCTTTCCAGGCCACCTCCGGGCCTCATCCCCCCGAGCCCTGCAGCTCAGCTGGTGGTGCTGGCAGCTGCAGACCCCGCAGGGCCCGCCCACTGTCTCCTCTTGCTCTGCCCCTCGGGCTGGCCCCCTGTGCTGGCTAACCCCATTGCCTAGGGCCCCCTCTGGCCGGCAGAGAGCCCGGCCTGCCAGGAAGGAGGAGACGCGATGTGGACTGGGGCCCGGGGGTATCTTTCCTGCCCGTCTCGGGGGGCCAGGCGCCGCCGAGCAGAGCCCCAAGAGCCGTGATGTCAGAGGACTGCTGAGAGCCCACGGAGAGCGCGGCAGCCCCGGAACCCGGGTCGCAGCGATGGAGGACCTCGAGGGTCCCTGTGGAAGGGGCCTGGCCTCCGGCACGTTGCTGCCGGCTGATCCGGGGCCCTGAGGGCAGGTTCCAGGCTCTGGGCCTGGGTGTGCCCCACAGCAGGTGCGGTTGGCCTCCTGATCAAGGGGTCTGTAGGGAAATAAAGCATGGAAACTGGATCTGGGAGTTTGACCTGTTGTCATGTGAAAGGGAACGTGAGTCTGCCCCAGGGAGGAAGCCTGCCCAGCGGGAGAGCCCATCCCCCCAGAGTCGCTCAGCGGGGACCCCCTGGGGACTGGAGGGGCCCCAGCCAGTGAGGCCTGGCTGCTGAGCCGGAGGATGCGGGCTGCAAACCTGGGCTGTGGGTGTCTCCCCTCTGCTCAAACCGGGGGGCTAGAGAGAGCTTATGAAGGACCTTGGGGCTGGAGGGGATGCTCAGTCCCCATCTTCCCCCTCTGCTGCATCTCAGAGGCTCAGAGGCTCAACTGAGGCCTGCCCGCAGACCTCTGCCTGCGTCCAGCCCGAGGGCCGCCCTGGGAGACAACAGGGCCCTTCTCTCTGCCCACCCTTCTCTCCCCGGGCTGCGGGGCCACTGCCCTGCAGGTGGGCCCTGGGCTCTGCCTGGCCGCCTCCTCCTCTCTCCCTGCAGAACCAGTCACCTTCTGTGCCCAGGCCTGAGGGCTTCTTGGGGGACCTGAGCTGAGACTCCAGCTACACGTCTTGTGCGTTGGCACAAACGTGGCTCATCCCGTGAGCAGGTCTCCTCCCACGACTCTGATTCCACTCTCATGAAGGTTCATCTTTGCTTGTATGAATATTTCATTCCAAACTTAGTTAGCATCGCCCTTTGCTTCCAGACAGAAGGAATTGCGCGGCTCCTCGATTGGCATCACTGCCCAGCCCTTCTGCCTCTGCTTTTGGTCACCAGGAGGAGCCTCACTGTCACTCAGGCCAGCGGTTGGGGGTCTCATCCCTGCGCCCTGGACGTGCAGGAAGGGCCCCGATGTGTTGAAGGTCACCCCGAGACACTGTCCGGGGTGGGGTCCTCCGAGGGGGTTGGGACGAGGCTGACCATGGCAGGCACCTTGCTGGACGGTGCCTCCCGGTCTGGGTGCTGATGTGCCGGAGCTGCGTGGGTGGTCGGGGCCCCAGTCCCGCCTGGCGTCGTCTGCCCCTGCATCTGAGGCTCTCCCTGTCCCGGGCTCCGTCGGCCAGTCCGTCTGTGGGCTCCCGCCTTCCTCTCTGTCACGGAGAAGTTTGCAGAAGCGGCTCTTGTCCATCTCATCCTCCCTTCTGGGGATGTGGAGCCTCTGGACCCTGCATCCCCATGAGAGGACAAGCCCAGTCGTTGGCACCAGCAGAACAGGAGACGGGTCCCCCAGGAGAGGGAGCCGGCAGAGCCTGCGTCCTGCCGGCCTCGAGGGGACACGCGAAGGGAGCGGGCTCTGTCCTGCGGACCAAGAGCAAGCAAGGTGCACGGGGACCGCGGGGGGTCCTGCCCCGGCTCGTGCCCCTTGGAGGCCGTGCTGTTCAGAAGTCAGCCAAGAAGGGCCGGGGGCTTCCCAGGCCCACTGGAGGAGCTGGGAGGAGCCAGTGGACTCTGAAGGATGACGGACAGGGGGTCCCGAGGCTGCTTCCCTGTCCCCCGCTCTCCAGGCCGGGCCCCGTGGGTGCCCACAAGGCCAGGGTGCCCTCTCTCTCAGCGCCCTCAGAGGCTGGGAATCGGCCGTGCTCTGCGCCTCAAAGGAGGAGCCAGGTCTGAAATTCCTGCCCGAGATACACGGTGGTGTCCGGCACCAGGACCCGGGTTCTCTGAACTGCATGCGTGTTAGCGCGGCGGGTCTCACTCTCCTCAGGGGCAGACTCAGCCCTGGGAGGAACCCCTGCCGCCCCCCACGAAGCGGCCCGAATGATCAGAAGCCCGCCTCCCTGCAGTCTGTGTCCTCTGGGGCAGCCCTGGGTGTGACCCGCTCCCCTAGGCCTCCCCGCAGCACCCCTGGCCCCAGTGCCCGGATGGGGGAACCGGGGGTGCTGGGCCTCCCCCCGCACAGGGTGGGGACCGCTGCTCCAGAGCCACAAGGGGTCCGGGTGGGCGTCCTCTGTTTCCCCAGAGTCTCAGGGGCGCCTGTGTTTCCTGGACCTTGGCTGGAGCAGGTGGAATAAGCCATGTTTAAGCAGGCTTTCAGTTCTGAATGAATCTTGTAACTAGCATGACTGTTCCACGAGCTGGCCCTGGACTCACTGTCAAAGCTGGAGGGTGAGGGTGCCTGGGGTAGGCATATCCTCTGCACTCTGCTAAGTCTGGGGCTTTCCCCCGCCGGCTCAGAGGCCACCCGCAGAAGGTGGCTACTGAGCTGAGCGCGGGCGAGCCAGGCCTCAGGCCGGACCCCGCCCCACCCCGTGTCCCCTCCCTTCCAGCCTTGCCGGGCCAGCGGGCCGTACCAGCAAGGTCTTCTGAAAGAACTGCTCGGAATGGTTTATTACTCAAGGAAGGACATTTAACACGTTATGGTAGGACACTTTGTAAAGTAAATATTTCACTGGGCTCATTTCAAAAAATAAACAGTTTAATTGAGTCTATTTATGGTTTGGAAAACTATCTGTCTTGTATTTTCCATCCTTGGGGAATATCTTAATTTAGCTTTAAATAGCATTAATGCCATCATTTCAAATCTGTTCATGTGACTGCCTGCCTGAAAAATCCAAGAGAATGTCTAATAAATAACTAAAGAGAGAAAAGCAGAAGCAATACTTTAAATTTTTAAATATATATTTAGGCTAGTTAATGTTTCTGTTTGCAAACCACACCAGTCTAACCACATGAATGAGGCTGTCACATTCTTAACGACAATGCAGAAGATTAAAATACCCAGGAATGAATTTAAGAAGTATGCATGACTCGAAAATTAAAAAAAGAAAATTATACAAAGGATATATACGAGTCCTTGCATTAATAGAAAAGCTTGTTTTTTATATTGACATATTTTCACTTTATAATTAAGAAGATAATAAAAACTTTTACTAAATAAAGCAATACATTGTATAATACATTGTATACATTGTATAATATCAGAATACTCTTAATATTACTAATGACATATTTGTTTAATAGAAGAACCAAGAAAACATAAGTACATATAACAGGAAAATGAAATATTTGATCTTTACTAATTTTTCTTCTTAGACTTGAGTTTCCCTAAGATATGAACAAATGACCATGCGATGATCCAGGAGGTATGCCTGCCTTAATTATACTAATATCCAGACAACCCTGTTATTAGGCGTGAAGCTGTTTCAATATTACCAGCTATAAATACGCAAATACTTTAAGTGAAAGAAGACTTGAAGACACATGGCCTTTGTAACAGAGGTGGGCCAGTGGCTGGCGTCACCCTAAAAGGACCACTTGCAGTGGGAGGACAGCGGTGGCCCTCCGCCCTGCGGAGGCAGAGTCTGAGGCCACTGAACTGTCCTGAATGTGTGGAAAGCTCTTTCAGGGGTCGTGGTGACCCACTCTTCTTCTTTTTCTTCCTTCTTTCCTCCCTTCCTCTTTTTAACTCAGAAAACCGAGTTCTAGAGCGCAGCCTCGTGATGCCGGCCTGCGTAGAACACTTTCCCCTGACCAGAGGGCTGGTGGAGGGGCTGCCCTGCGCTTCCTACCATTTTCCTCAAAAACACAGCAGATAGCACGGGAAGGGATTACGGAGGGTCTGCCAAGCAAAGATGTAGTGGGCTGGCAAAAATAAATCACCCAGCAGCTCATTTTAATAGAAACATGTAACCTACGTAAGCAGTGAGGTTTGACGATGACCAGGCCACTACTCAAAATGATGGCAACGTTTAATAGGATGCTATCTTCTCATCGACCCAGTCCCTCCGAGCAGGTCCTTTATTCCTGTGTCTGCCTGCTTATTCACCGTCCGTTCACTTCCACGGGCTTCCCCGGTGGTTCAGCTGGTAGAGCGCCCACCTGCCAATGCAGGAGGCGTGAATTCCATCCCTTGGTTGGGAAGACACCCTGGAGGAGGAAATGGCCCCCACTCCAGGACTCCTGCCGGGGAGAGTCCCTGGACGGGGGCCTGGCGGGCTGTGGTCCATGAGCTTGCAGAGTCAGACATGGCTGAGTGATTAACGGCAGCTTTCACGTCCACACAGGCCCGTTTCCACGTTGACAAAACCAACAGGACCCTCTTTACACGAAGCTCAGAAAAAAAAGGGAGGAGGAAAAAAAAGGAACGAACAGGTGTGTGCTCACAGACTGCTGTCGATTAAGGGCTCAGATGCTTGTGGAGGGTTTTTTCTTATAAAATAAAGTTAGGGTATTTTTGAAGGGAAAATGGAGATGAATCTTCATAAAGCTGATTTCATAAATACAAAGCTGCAAAACAGAAGTTACAGTTGGGCTGAGATCCTTAAAAAGCCGTGGCCGTGAATGGCCCTTCTGAGCGGTGCTGATGATCAGAGGAGGAGTCTGCCGTCTTCAGCGCCCGGTCAGCAGGAGAAAGAACAGCCTCTCTCTTTACCCTCAAAAGGAGCCGGTGCGCCTGGAGCTCTGACAACTTTAAAAGAGCGTTGCCAGCGCTGACACAGATTTTCCTCGTAGAGTGTTCCGCACTTTCTCTCAGTCATCATTCAGGACTCAACGATTCCGGAACCCACTTGTCCCTGTGACTACAGAGGGTTAATTAAGCCCGGCTGGTGGTGACTTGGCCTGGGCAGCGCCACCCCGGGAGCCCGCCTGAGGGGTGTGTGAGCACTTGCCTGCCGGAATCACGGAAAGGCCAGCATTTCTGTCTGCATGATTTTATGTAAATAACTTGGCCCTGTCAGCAATCTCTTTCTGCCAAGGGGGTGGAGTTTAACCACCCTCCCCAGACAGCAGGCCTCGCTGAGACTGCCTTGACGAACCACGGTTCACTCTGATTCTCCCTGAAGTCAAGTGCCAGGCTCACCCCTAGGTCAGGCCGCAAGGGGAAGGTCAGGATGGGTCAGCATTTGGGGGTGAGTGGCCAAAGGGTCCAGACTGCGAGGCCCAGGCCAGCAGGTTGCCCCAAACCTTAGAAGTTTGGGAACAGTGATGGCACTATTAATCTTACAGAGCCGACGAGAACAAACCAAATGGAGGAGCTGTCGAGGGCCTCTGAAGTCAGGACAGGTGTCCTGGAGCCTCCTCCCCTCCCTGGACCGTGCGTCCTGCGACGCCGGAGCCCGGGTTAGTGACCCCTCGCTCGCTCGGAGGTTCCCTTTCTTCAGCAGAGCTGTGCCCCAGGCCAGCCTCTCAGTCAGGCGCCCCTCCGCCCCCCACCCCCAGGTGCCTGCAGCACCTCGGGCTCTGATCTGATCAGAACCCAGGGAGGTGAGGCTGGGGGGATGGGGCGGGTGGACGGAGAGCAGCCTCTTGCTGTTCCTTGTCCAGAGGCTGGAGTACATTTTCTAAGGATGAAAGTGCAGGTCTGAACCGGTCTGTCTTCTCAGACGCTGTCACAATTCAAGTTCCATATCTCTCACCCGAAACCCGTGGGACCAGATGGAATTTAGGTGCAGATTTTAGAAAGATTTAGATTTCTGCATACCGCACATACCGTGCAGCCCAAAGAGCAGGGGTCGGGGGACCCACGTCCACACGGAAGACACACAGAGGGATTCTTGGGCTGGGAAGACTCCAGTTTGCTGTACCTTCCAAGTTATGCCAATAAACAAAGAAGAACGTCCCAGTTTTAGAGGATTTGGGTTTATGTTATCGTGCGTAAGAAATTGCAGATGGGACTTGCCTGGAGGTTAGGAATCCACCTGCTAATGCAGGGGACAAGGGTTTGACCCCTGGTCTGGGAAGATTCCACATGCTGAGGGCCAACTGAGCCCGTTTGCCTGAGAGCCCACGCTCTGCAGTAAGGGAAGCCCCTGCTCACCACAGCTACAGACAGCCTGCCTGCAGCAGCAAAGACCCAGGGAAGCCAAAAATCAGTAAATTAATAAAATAAAAAATTAAGGAGTCAAAATCTTTAAAAAAGAAATTGTAGATGTGCACAATCATAGTTGTTAGTCTATTTTCCTTTCCAAATGGTTCAGATTCACCTTATTGAAGTTTTCTTACAGTCAAAAGCATGCGTGTTCAGTGGACAGTTCTGTGAGTTTCAACAAACGTATGCAGCGCCTATCACACCACCGCAGCCAACATCAGGGATGTTTCCTTCTCCCAGCAAGCTCCCTCCTCTGCCCCTGGCACGCAACCCTGCCCCACCCTGGGTCCCGCAGACACTGGTCCCCTCTGCCACGGGGGACAGAGGTGCCCTTTTCAGAAGTCACAGAAAGAGTGATGCCGTCTGCGCACCTTTGTGTCTGGTGCACCTGAGCCTGGCCTGTATCGTTTCTGTTAATGAGCATTATTCTGTCGTGTGCGGGCACCAGGATTCTTACTCCGCCCATTCTTTTGATGGATGCTGGAGCATTAAAAGGGTGGCTCTTTCCATTTTATTAACATTGTTTCTCAAAGAACACAGTTTTAAAATTTTGATAAAATGCATTTTTTTTTGCTTTTTCTCTTTCTTTTACAAGCAGCATGTTTGGTGTCCTCTCTAAGAAAGCCTCTGCAGCTCCAAGTCCCAGAAATACCCTCAAGTGTCCCTTGAAACTTGATCCTAGAAACTTTAGCTGTTGTGCATCAGGGTGTATTTTGCCTCATATGGATGTCCAACAGATCCCAGAACCATCAGTTGAAAAGACAATCCTTTCCCCATTGATTTGGTCCTTTGTCTAAACTGACCACCACACAGGTAAAGGTTCTCTGCCCTGCCCTCTGATCCACGTGTCTGTCCTTCTGCTGACGGAACTGTCTTCGTGTCTGTGGCTTCATGGTCAGGCTTGAACCAGGCAATGTGAGGACCCCAGCTTTGCTCTTTTTCACAACTCTCCTAACTACTCTATGTATTTTACCTTTCCATATATACATATATATATGGGATTGTATGAAATCTATGCATCAGGTGAAGAAAACTGACATTTTCACATCTTAGAATTTTTCAACTCACGAATATGGTGTATCTCTCCATTTACTTAGAGGTTTTATAATTTTTTTTTGATGTGGGTCATTTTTAGAGTCTTTGTTGAATTTATTACAATGTTGCTTCTGTTTCATGTTTTGGTTTTTTGGTTGTGAGGTGCATGGGATCTTAGGTTCCGAACTAGGGATTGAAGCTCACCCACAGTGTTTATTGGAAAGCAGAGTTTTAACCACTGGACCACCAGGGCAGTCCTCAGATCTCCTCTACCTTTAATTCTTCATGTTTTGTAGGTTTCTTGTACACCTTTTGTTACATTTATTCCTACACATTTTCACTTTCTCAGTATTATAAATAGAAATGATTTAAAATTTTATTCTTCCAATGTTCATTTCTGATATATAGCTATACTACTGATTTTTGAATACTGACTTGAATTCCGTGAACTTGTTAAATTCACTTTTTCAGTGGCATGTTTTGTAGATTGTTGAGGATTTTCTATGTAGATGATCAAAGGCAGGAAGCAAAGGCAGGCAGGCCAGTCCTCTCCTGAAACTTTGCAGAACTTCTTTCTGCTCCTCCTTCTCATTATTATTGCAAAGTTAACAAACATGGAACAATGTTCAAAAGGCAAAGAAGGGCATCAGGGAAAAATGACTTCATGAACGTGGCTTCTAACACAAGTGGTCAACATTCAGTTTCACTCTGAAGGTTGGGCAGCCCTGGCCCCGGGCATGGAGATGACTCCTGCGTGTCATAAACTCACACGATACATGTTTCTGGAGTGTTTCTCTGTGACAGGCTGTGCCCACGTGGTGCGGGAGGGGAGGCAGTTGACAGGCCGAGGGGACTGGAGAGTCTGGTTTCCATGATGATGTGGGTGATGTGACGTGGATGCGTGTGGTGTGGTGGCAGGGGTCAGAGGGGTGCCGTGGCAGGGGTCAGTGGGGTGCAGTGGCAGGGGTCAGAGGGCTGCCGTGGCAGGGGTCAGTGGGGTGCCGTGGCAGGGGTCAGTGGCGTGTGGTGGCAGGGGTCAGAGGGGTGCCGTGGCAGGGGTCAGTGGGGTGTGGTGGCAGGGGTCAGAGGGGTCTGATGAAACCAGGGGGCACTGAGAAGTCTGACCAGCCAGAAGAAGCTGGTTGAGTCCCCCCCGGGGCACATGGTCTGAACCCTGCTGTGGCTGCAGGTCCAAGACAGCAGGAATCAGGAGTCTGTGGCCACGCGCTGGGTCTGAGATGGCCCAGTCCAGTGAGGCACCCGGGCGCATGGCTGAATCAGGAGACTGGGATCACAGTGAGGATCCCCAGTGTGCTCCGAGGGCCTGGGAGGGAGCAGCCCACTGGCCCTGGGGAGAGACGGCCCGACTGTAAGGACCGGGTCTGCAGCCGAGGGAGCAGACAGAGGGAGGGAGGGAAACGACGGCTCCAGAGCTGGCGGGACGCGGGCGGGGTGGCCAGAGGGAGGAGGAACAGGTGCCGGAGGCCTGCTGACCCAGCGGGAACACCTCTGACTGCAAAGCCTCCCCTGCTCAGGGGTCAGGGCATCCCCGGGTGGGAGGACCTGTTGACGGCCTGGAGCGGGAGGGGAAGGGGTGCCATCTTGGAGTGATGGGGCAGGAGCGGCCAGGAGGCCTGCTGTGCAGCGTGGACGTCCCTGAGGTTGGCGTGATGCTGGCCGGGGGCACGGGGTTAGTCTCTCTAGTTTTCCCTAACCTAGGTGCAGCCTCAGGGAGAACGCGTGTGTGCGGGTGTGCCCGTCTGTATGGGGCTTGCTCCTGGGCTATAGTGAGCTGGGGCGGGGGGGAGAAAACAGCCGAGGTCAGGGGTGGTGCCTCTGCCCAGGAAACAGCTCTGGGCGGCAGCGAGGCCTCTGGACCAGCTTCTGTGGGGGTGCCCTCGGCCCGGGCTGCTCCTGTCAAAAAGAGAGAGAGACCCCGCGTCAGTCAGCTCACGCTGCCGAGCCCGAACACCACAGCCCCGCGCCTAAGCAACAACAGTTTCTTTTCTTCCACTTCTGTTTCTGCTTTCTGGACGGCCACCGTCAGGCTGTGTTCCCATGACCTCTTCTTGTTTTCTGTCCAAAGTGGGAGCTGGTGGGGGGAAGCGAGTGCCCTGGGTCGCTTCTTACAGAATCAAGGCTGTTGAGAAAGAGTACCATCCTCATCACCGCCTGTAACTTTAATTAACCTCCTGAGGCAGGTCACACAAGCGGTGGGAGTGGACCTCACCTGGGGACTCTGGGGACATATTCAGTCCACAGCCAGCTGCCGCAGGGACCTTGGGCTTTATGCGGGCAGGAGAGGACGCCTTCCCCGCAGGGCTGCGCCCCGCCCTGTGCCCCCTGGACACGCTCCCTAGACGCTGTCCCCCCGGACACTGTGCCCCCTGGACACGCCCCCTGGACACTGTCCCCCCGACAGTCTCCCTGGACACGCCCCCGGACCCCACTGACGCGGGGAGGCGGTCGCGCGGGCAGGCGCCTTCAGATCCCCGGGAGCCATGCGGGCCCCGCATCGGCCCGCGGACGGCGCCCATCGCCAGCTTCAGCGCGACTCCTTGTCGCCTTTTCTCGCGTCCAGTTCCCTCCGCGGACCGCCGGGCGCGCGGCGTGGGCTGGGGGACACCACCGGCCCAGCACGCCGGCGGCCCTCAGCCCGCGGCCCGGGGGCCTGGCGCGCCGGCCTCCTCTGTGCGGGTCCGGCGCAGTTCGCACGGGGCCATGCGCTCCCGCCGCAACCCTCGCCTGAGGGCCAAGGGGTCGCGCCCGGCAGCAGCGGAGAGCAGCGCCCGGCCCCTTTAAGACGCACCCTGTGGGAGCAGGGCCGTGACGTCATGGGGTGAGGGAGGAGTCTGTGCGCAGCCGCGGCGCTGGGGAAGGCGGGGCGGCCGCTGACTGACAGGAGCGCGGCGGAGGCTAACGCCCGAGCGCTCCGCGCAGACCCCGCCCTTCTGGTCCCGCCCCGTTCCCAAGCCCGTCCCCTCCCATGGCCTCCCCGCCCTCCGCTCAGTCCCTGCCCCTTTCACGCCCCGCCCCTCCCCAGTCCTCGCCCCTCCCCTCCCCAGTCTCGCTCCGCCCCTAGTACCCCAGTTCTACCGCCCTCTGACCCCGCCCCCGAGGGCCCCGCCCCGCCCCTCGTATTCCCAGCTCCACAGCAGCAGGCCCCGCCCCGCGCTCGCCCCGCCCCCGACCCGGGCGGGCCTCGCCTCTGCTTTCGGCGGCGGCGGCGCTGCGGGAGCTCCGGCGGCTGCGATTCTAATGGCTGCGCCCGGGCCGCGGTGATCGCGGGCGGAGAACGACGGGCGCGGGACCGCGGAGATCGAGAGCGAGCGCGGCCGGATCCCGGCCCGGCCCGGCCCGACCGGCCGAGCTCGCGATGCGCCCCGGGGCCGGCCCTCGGCGCAGCTGACGCCGCGGCGCGCGGAGACCCCGGCCGGCCGGCTCCGGAGAGCGGCTGCCCCGGCCCAGGCCGCGATGGCGGGCAAGGCGGCCGCCCCGGGCACCGCGGTGCTGCTGGTCACGGCCAACGTGGGCTCGCTCTTCGACGACGTAAGTTTGGCGCCGGACCCGGGACCCCCAGACCGCGGACCCTGAGCCCGGGGACCAGGATCTCGGTCCCGAAGCCCGAAGTCCCAGGACCCAGACCCCGAGTCCTGAGCCCCGGGACCCGGGCCGGATCCCTGGCACCCAGGCACAGACTTGAGCGCTAGACCTGGGAGCCTAGCCCAGTCCCTGGAATCCTGGTCTCCAGGTCCAGCCTTCAAACTGCATGGGTTGAACCCAGAGGCCAGTCCCTGAACCCAGGTCCCTAAATCCTAGTCCTGATCCCTGTCCACGGTCCCCAGATCCTGACCCCAGCACCCCAGTTCGAGGGCCCCACACCCTGGTACCCAGTGTTGACCCAGGAAGCTTGACCCTGAACCCTGGTTCCCAGACCCCAGCCGGTGTCTCCTGGGCCCCAACCCCTGACTTCTGGCTATTGACTCCCACCTCTACAGTCCATGGCCCTGCCCTTTGCTGGTCTGCCTGTCTCCCTGCCTAGCAGCCTGTGGCTGCCCCCAAGTGTGCAGCGCCCTCATTTTACCTTGTAACTTAGTATCTCTCTAGTTCTCAAACAAGGGGCTTCTGTTGAAAGCCCGGAGGACTTTATGTTTCTTGCCTGTTAAAGAGAAAGATGTGAGAAGCTTTTCAAGGCCGGAAAAAGGATGCTGACTGTCCAAGGCCTTTACCTTCTGGGGCCTCCCACCCGGCACCCGAGGCCACCAGGAGAAGAGTCAGCCAAGGCCTGGTGCTCCCCCGACTCCGGAGGCAGGCCCAGGCTGACCTAGTTCGCGCTGCAGCCGTGGTGCCACCCCGCTGTTGATACTTACACTGCCAACCCAAATAAAGCAGAATGCGGCTCCAAGTGGCGTGCTTGTTTAAGAAAAGAGGGTGATGGCCCAGATGGAGCCCCAGGCAGCCCCACACGACATCCCCCACCCCTGTGGAGGTGAGCGGTGGGGCGGCCCCTTGACCAAGCCGGCCATGGGGCAAACATGCCTTCCACCCCTGCCTTCCTTTGCTGGCTGGCAGTGAGCATCAGTGAGGTGTTTCTTAGGCTAAGTTCATGCACAGGCGAGGAGTGATTTTACTGATCAAAGGTAGGCGCTATTTTCGTGTTTTTCTTGTTTTAGCTTCCAGGTGCCGTGTTTTATACTTCCCTGCTGGAGGTGAGCTGCTTGCTCTCTGGCATGGACAGGACAGCTTCATCTAGTTTCACGTTTGATCATTTTCTACAAAAGTGCCTGGTCTGGGTGTGTGTCTGTATATTTAGCATTCTATTCTTGGCTTTCCAGTAACATCCACTCTAACATGGTTTTACTCAGATGATTCAGATCCGTGAGCTGTGGCTTCAAAGCCTCAGAAATGTCAGGAAAGTTAAGCACGGTGGGCGTTTCAGTCTCAAAGGGAAGAGAATTCTGTGCAGACTTTCTTCCCAGTGATTTTTTGATTCCGAGTTCTAGCGTTTTTGTTGTGTTTTAGCTGTATACACATGCTTCCCTCCGTGGATGTTAAAGTGGATCACTTGGTTTCCTTTTAGTTAGCACCAGACGCTCTCTGATTTTCCATTCTTCTGAAAGTCTGTGTGGAGTGCTGCATCTTGTTTGTATCACGAAGGAACCTTTGTTTTGGTAAGCAGCGCACAGGTTAATTCTGCTCGGTGGCTTTTGACTCAAGGGCCGGGAAAAACGTATCTGTCCTCACCCACATCTTTCTTAATGTGCGCAGCTTGGCTGGGGACTGTTCCTCCTCAGTGGCCTGGAGAAGCAGGGGTGGGCGTGGGCCGGTCCCCCGGAGCCTGGCCAGGGAAAGCAGCCGATGCTTTGACCCTTCGGTTCGTAGGAGGCCTCAGGGGGGCTGCTCTGTGATTCTGTCTTGTGTGGTGTGCGCCCTGCGCACTGATGCTGTTCAGACGGCCCAATTACGTCATCTGGAAACCAAGCTCCGCTGTGTGTCTGGGTACGCGGTGGGCAGCGTCGGCCCCCTCCGGGGCGATGGCCCTGCTGGGTGGGCACATTCTCCTTTCGTGCTCGAGCGACAGGGGACTGTGTATGCTTGTGCAGCACTGTGGCTGCTGGCTCCCCTCCCCGTCCTGCAGGGACCCGGTGGAGCGCTGGACGTGGACTTCCACGTGGCTTGGCCCTAACCACCTGCGACCCGCAGAGCGTCCTGTCTGTGGCTGGCTGTGTCCTTGCCTGCCCCCTGGGCTCCACTGGGTCTGGGATGGCTCAGCACCTTGTCCCCCACAGGGCCCTCAGGTTGCTTCTCACTGTGTGACGCTATACACTAGGGGGTGGTCAGAGTCCATGGTACAGTGGTTCGCAAACTTTTCCCGCTTAATTATGGAGCACCTGAAGAGTCCTTGGTCAGGTCGATCATAACCTATAGTCCAGAAAGACTGAGGACGCCGGAAACAGACCACTGCAGGTGCTCTTGGAAAGAAGATGTCCTCGCACGTCACAGCCCTCGCAGGCCCTACCAGTCCTGCGGGAGATGGTGGGACGAAACCTGAGCCCTTGTGTTGTCCTGCTGTGGACAAAGCTGGGACCTGCCGCTCCCCTGGCCCCCAGGGCCTCCGTCCTGGCTGGGGGCGAGCCTGCAGTGGGGGGCTGCCCCCTGACTGGGGCGTGGCGTTGGCTGCGCTGCCTGCCTGTTCTGGGTGCCCCTGGGGAGCCTGGGGCTCTCCACAGTCACCAGTCGGACTCCTGCTGTCCCCAGCCGCTTTCTGGCACGCACTCCTCACCTGACCGCGTTGTTGGAGATGGCTGGCTTTTAGACAAGTGAGGTTTCTAGCTTTTGGTTCTTTACATGGTGGGCCTTTTTTTTTTTTGCTAGAAGTTAGCTGGGAAGGTGGATTCTTGCAGCTGTGGCTTCAGAGCTCGGTCCCACCCTTACATGGTAAGGCTGCTTCTTGGGAAGGAGATGAAGCCAACAGCGGGGCTTTGAGAGCGCGTTTCACTCTTGGGTGTCTGCCTGGAGCACGGGTCCTGCCCTGCCTTCCTGGCCGCATCAGCCCTGAGCCGCTTCCCGTTTCCCCCGGTCTGCTCGGGAGCAGCCCTCTCTGCACCCGGACCTGGGGCTGGCGCCGGCTGTGCTTCAGGGTCTGGGAGCCCCTGCGCTGGGCTGGGCATCTCGGACACTTTGCATCTCCCTCCAGCACCGTCCGTTTGCCCTGTAGCCCTGTTCCCACCCCGTCTTGAAAGCGCCCTGCCCTGGGTCCCCCCCCAGCTCTGTCTCCCCCTCCCCAGCCCTGTGTGCAGGGCCACCCCTTCCAGCCCAGGGCACGGGGGCACCACGGGGGCCTCGTGAGGGGCTGGCCCTGGTCCCAGCCCACTCGCTTGCTCTGACGGGGGAAGTCCCCCCACTTCTTGAAGGAGTTGCATTTGGCGATGCTTCACCATGGCGTCCTTCACGCACACAGACCTCACTCCTGTAAGGTGTGCAGCCCGGCGGTTTCTTGTGTCACAGAGAGCGTAAACTTGTTTTCTACCTGGGAAGGACACTCCGTACACCTTAGCTGCCCTCTCCCGCTAACTCCATCCGTCCCCCCAGAAGCCCCCAGCCCCTGGTCGCCACCTGTCTGCTTCCTATCTCTGTGCGTCAGCCTGTCCTGGGCGCTCATGTGAGTTTGTAAAAGCCACTGGCTGTGTGTTTCCAGAGTTCAGCACGTTGGATGTCAGTGCACTCACTCTGGTGGCCGAGGACCGTTCTACCGCCCGGTCGTGTCTGTCCGCTGCCGGTGCTGGGTGTCCGGGCGGCCAGCACTGCTGGCCTGCCATGCACGTTCTGCTTCTCCTGGGCCTGCTCCTGGGAGGGGGGTCGGCCGGGCCCGTGGTGACTCGCGTTGAGTCTTTTGAGGAATTGCCGGCCGTTCTGCAGCGTCGCCTGCTCTGCATCCTCTCCAGCCCAGCTCGAGGGCTCCGATTTCTCCACATCCTCCAGCGCCCAGCGTTACCTGTCTTTTCTCAAAGTCTCGTGCTGGGCCTCTCCCCTGCCTCCCAGGATCGCATGCCCGCCTCACAGGAGCTCGTCTCTCTGGACCCTGGTCTTTAACGAGGTCTTTACACGGACGCCCAGGAGGCAGGAGGAGACCCCGACCCCAGGGAAGGTCTGGAGCATTCGGCCAGAGCTGAGGACTGGTGGCCAGATCTCCTCGAGGACGGTCTCAGTTTCAGAGGCTGTGCTTCCTGCACTGTCTCAGCCCCGAGGCCCCCGAGGCCCCCGAGGGCTGCCGCGCGGGCCACGGTGAGGCTGAGCCCCTCTCCCAGCCCCCCGCAGTGTGGGGACGGCCGTGGGAGAGAGACGGCCAGCGGGGAGGTGTCTCTGCATCCTTCTGGCTTCACTGCCTCTGACCTGGGATCTCCACATACTTCCCCTGTGGGAATTTGGTCTGTGTGCCCGAGTTTGGGTCTCTCTGTAGACGGGGTCCCACCCAGTTCCGGGGTGGTGGGGTCAGCCTGGAGGGGTTTCGGGGTTGCTCCCCCAGGTCAGGAGGCCGCGCCCGCACCCGCACACCTCCTCGTGGCCGCAGCGAGCCACCGTCCCACCGCCGCGGTGCACCTGGGGTCTGTAGCCCGTCGTCTGTCTGCAGACGTCCCTGCCCCGTCCGTCCATTGCTGACCCCGAGCTCGACTGGCCACCGCTGCGCATGGTCACCTGCGGCCTTTCCTGCTTTATCAGCGCTGCAGACGCTGGGGGAGGACGGAGGCTGCTGTGGCAGAGACACTGCTCAGCTTTAACGTCTCAGGTGTTTTGCGTGTTTTGAACCCAGTGGCGTGAGCCCTGCGGGGCAGCCGGGGGGAGAGCCCTGAAGGATGGGGTCCCGGAGCGCGTTCACGCCCGCTGCCTCTCAGGCCCGTCCCTCTGCACGGTCAGGCTCTGGGCCCGCGTCGTGTACTCCGTCAGCACGTGGACCAAGCCTTCCGGGGGACGAGGGGCTGCCGCTGCTGACAGGGTCGTCTCCCGTGGGCATTTGCCTCTGGGAAGGGAGCCCCTACTGGGGGCGATTC